TAAGTGTACAAAAGGAACGATAAGGGGGTCAGTTAGTCATTAAGGACAAAAGAGTGAGTTAGTCATTTAAAAGGAATAAAAGTTGTTAGATGCCAATTAATGGGGGTTAGGGGAATTAGCTGAATATACTACCCTTTTATATGTTATTGGCAATCAATGATTTGATTCTATGAAATAATCTCTCTCTCTCTCTCTCTCTCTCAATTTCTATATTGTTTAGGAGTAGTTCATCAGTTCTACTCCTAAAGTTTGCAGTTAGGGTGTTCTTCATCGAACACATTACTCGTTAACTTTTATTAATATAGTGAACACATTGAAATAACCATAATAATTAAAAAGTGCAGTATTACCAATTGTTTGAGCTTGTATTGTTAGGAGTAATGCTGGGAATTCTAACCCGTTGGAAGAGAACTAAACTAATTAATATCGGAGGGAGCAATATGAATTTTTGTTTAGAAAAATATCAAGTGTATTAACGTCAAATGAGAAGAGCTTCAGGTAAAAGCTGTAAAATTGCATATATGAGAGTTTGTTGAGAAGAAGCTACAGATATATGCTATAGGTAAAAACCTTGAATACCATATAAAATAATTACTGGCGGTAGGAGAATAGTACTTTCTATAGAATAATTGTTCCAATATAATTAAAAACAAAAAATCTTTCATTGCTATACCCACTTTTCCTTTGCTATGCTATATAAATATGTTAACAAAGGCCTCCTAATTTCATCGTTATTGGAGCGATATGAACTATTGTTTAAAGAAAACTTAAGTAAAATTAAAATAGCATAAGAATACAATAGGTTCCGAAATGTAATGTCCACTTTGAAAATATTAATCAAAGGACTATTATAATAGCATGAGCATACAAGAAATGTGGGATACCTTTAATTAAAATTGACTTATTAAAATTAAGCTTCTCTATAACAGTTGTATTGACACATATGGAAATGGATAAAACTAAGCAAGAATTTAACATACTATATAGACATTTATTGTGATATATAGACACATATAAAAATGCTACTAAGAAAATAGAATATTTTGATTTAGACACTTTCTATGAACCGTGAACATGAGCATATTTATATATAGAACAAAAGGGCAATTTAATAATTTTGTTTAACTAAGATCCTTTCAAACATGGATGTGTGATCACGCCCAACTATGCCTTATAAAAAGGACTAAGCGATCATGGCAAATATATTCTGGTTAATAAGAGGAGTCGAATCCCACAGGGAATTAACCTATTAAGGACAACAACTAGACTCACACAAATTCACGCAATCAATCTTCAGAAATATTTAAATTACAAATAGGATGTTTACTACTAAAGATCTAGTTATGAAAATGCAGTAATTAATAACTAACTACGAACAAGTTGTAGACAAGATTTGGAATGATTTAAGGTTATGATTTCTCCTATTGTCGGAATCCTTTCAGCTACGTTTTTCATACCGACCATGAGCACTCTGAGTATCGTAATTCTCTCCCGAGTAACTACCACAATTTACTAGACCTATTCTTCCGAATTACGCTAGTTGGCACTAAGTACGCCTCACTCGGATCGCACCAAGGTTTCGTTATTCCTAATCCCACCTTTAAACCCTCCATATTGATCCCTCATACACGTTAGGAGTGATGTTGTTCAACAACTACCTAAATATGCACTCTCTTCTGAGTCATACACATTAAATAGGCACAGTCGATTGAGAGCTCTTCAACCAACCACAATATAACGTAGTTGAACAAATAGAGAAAAATTACGGCAAATCTATATTGACGTAACGGAAAATTCATCCTCCAATAGGTTCCATCAAAACCCTAGATTAGGAGTTTAGCTACTCATGCTCATAGTAATAATATCCCAAGTATTTTGCATAAATAAATTACAAAGTAAAGATGAATGAATGTAGGAATTGATAATTATATCTCTCAACGGGTGTTCCACGAGCTATTCTTGCCTCCGGTCACAAAAAAACCTTCAAAAGTGATGTTTAATGTCTATTTATATGTGTAGGAATAGACCTAAACTACATAGCCCAAGTCCTTGTCAAATAAGGAGACGAAATAAGCCTTCAAAATCCGGATCAAGCTCGCCTCAGACCGTGCCTCGCGAGGTAAAACGCGAGATGAACCTCACCCCAAACCATGCAGTGCCTGCTTCCACGCGAGCTCATCCTCGCCTTATCCCTCGCGTCGCCTGCTCCCACGCGAGCTCAAAGGCTTGCCTCGCCAGCTCTAACGCGAGCTTAGTAGCTCGCTTCTCCAGCTTCCTCATTTTTCTGCTACTCACTTCTTTCTTTCTTCTTTTCACCTGTTTTTGAGCACGCTTTAGACTTTAAATATTTCTTTTTCTCTACTTTCATCTCCAATGTACCTACACATAAAATAGACTCCATAACGCGCAAATAGACTGTAGTTTAACATTAACGCATATAAAATATAAGGTAAATAATGTACTAAAATATAGAATTATAGCTACACATCAATACCCCACTCTTAAACATTGCTCGTCCTCGAGCAATCAAACTACACTTATAGACACGACCTTTTTAAGCAATTCTCTTACTCCTCACACCAAGAATCTTTTAAATATACTAAGCACAAAGATTCAACATCCTCACCCAAGATTTGACTCACAAATACCACGCATTATTCACAATTCACTTACTTACTCTAACATGGAGGTCAATGACATTACCTTTCCATCATGAATCACGTGCCCTCACACAACAAAAGAGATTAATTCCACACACAATAAATTTTAAGACCGTAGGATCTCAAGATAGGAAGAATTCACTCGCTCTCAGAAATAACATTCATATGCCACAAATGATTAGGGGTGTGCATTCGATTTATCGATTCGATTTTGACCCTTATCGATAATTACTTATCGATTATCGATTTGTACATATGCTTATCGTTATCGTTTCAATAAGGTTTCGATTTTTTCGATTTCGATTTATCGATTTTGGGGGCTTATCGATTCGGTTATCGATTACACCAATAAGAAAATTTGCGGGATTCCACGGAAAGTATATCGCTATGAACGCGCTTAACTAATATGGACAAAAAGAAGCTAAAATAAGACGAACACCATTTATAATATAAAAATTGTGTCAACAAGCACATGCAACAAAACTAAAGTAGGGGATCAAATGTATGCCACCAACACTCCAACGGTATAAAAAAACAAACAAAACAAACACATCATCACGGCTAATTCTGTTTTCCATTAATTTGAACTTCATTCCCTTGATCTTTAAATATGATCATTCCTTAAATGTGGTAGAGGAAATAATAGGGTAAAGGGACTTAGGGTAAAGGAAGGGTATAGATTAGGGAAAATATATTGTATAGCCGCTTTCGAAAATAGTAGCGGAATATATATACATTTTGTATGTTATATTAATCTACACAAATAGGTAATTACTCATTTAACAAGTGTCTACAGTCTAGGGGTGTGCATTCGATTTATCGATTCGATTTTGACCCTTATCGATAATTACTTATCGATTATCGATTTGTACATATGCTTATCGTTATCGTTTCAATAAGGTTTCGATTTTTTCAATTTTCGATTTCGATAACAAATAATCGATTCGATTAATCGATAAACCGATTCGAATGCACACCCCTAAACGTCGTTGGTCAAGCATTGGTCATGCAAAGGATAGTACGAGACCATTCGCCTCAGAGAAACAAAAAATACAGCCAAAGAAACACATTGCTTTGATTTGCAATGTGGAGCGCTGATAAAAAGAAACAATCAGGCGAATGAATCCATTTGACAATTAATTTATTCATCTTCCCTTGTTAAAGATTGAAACTTGTATACAAATCTAGTGGCACCAACTTCTAAATCTCCCTCATGTCAAATTTTAATTTCTGAGTATTAGCAGACAAACATGAAGAGGAAATCTAGTAACCGTCAAAATAAACCCAAGCGAAAAG